AGGCTTGAGACGGCCGAGCGCAGACGCTTAGCCTAAACCTCGTTTATGAGTAACGGAGCTCGAGGGCTCCCTTAAAAGCTTCGGAACGGACCGTTACTGAAGCACATGAATACAATGAAAAAACCCTGTTTGATTTCGAAGGTGTTTGTAATATAACTTAGAAGCTGCGATCGATGTAGAATTGAATAAGCTTTGATCGAAGCCTAGAAGTAACTATTCAAAGTCTTGCAAAAGTTTGTGGGCGATGTACCCAGATTACGGCTGTCCATCTTACTCTTACTAATAATATAAAGGCGAAAGTGTACATAGACAATACAATGTTTGTTACAGGTTGTAGCCTAAATTGCTGAACGGATTTCGATTAAATTTAGCATAGATGTAGAGGATAGTCTGGAAGGGCACAAAGGCCACTGTCTTCTGTTTCTTTTTAATTCCACGCGATGGTGTCGCGGGCGAAAGCTAGTCTGTCACAATTCCAACACGATTTGTCTTAAATTATTGTTTTTTTAATGTAAGTATAAAAAAAACTCTAAGATAGTAATATAAACTTTTGCCTTAATCAATACCCAAGTCTGTTAATAGTGAAATACGCAAAGTAATATTTGAAACAACGCAAATAAATACCTATTTTCTCGTTAGCTTTGTCAATTAAAAACAAACATAAAAACTATATTAACAAGCAACCCAACCTCTTGGTAGTGGTCGAGAACTCGTTTCCTACAACTCAATCACTATTCGAATCCATTTAGCCGGGTTTGCTCTTCAGTATGCAAATATCAGGCGACTGCGGGGCCAAGGGGGGTGAGATGCACTTGAGGGGCGGAGACGCAGGGGGGTTAAGCCGCGGTTCGCTTTGATCTGGTCTTGACACCGCCACCTGTGCCCACGATAGATTTACGGCCGCTCCACCACTCGTATTGTCTCAAGATGACGACTATCGTAGTGGGGGGATACAAGCTCTGTGCCGATGAAGGGAACTGGGGTGTCTTTCTTTTGATCAAATTAATTGATTACATTCAGTAGCTGCGTTTTAAAAATGCTTCAATTCGGATCGTACATTGCATTTTCCACAGTCGGAATACCACAAATATATTGCCATCTCTGTTTATTTTGAAGCGTATGAAAGGAAGAACAATTCCTTTTTTATTAGTGTCTTTTTGGTAACAATTACTTTAGGTGTTATAATAGAAATCTGTACATATACCTAATAAAATTGAAGTGTCTGTTTGTAACATCAAAATAGAAATTACAGATTTCGAGAAGATGTATTTGCGCTGCTGATAACGAAAATCGCATTTAAACATTTTTTGACTGTCTGTTTGAATTGTTAACTATTATCAGTTTTAAATAATACCAGCTGTTCCCGTGCGGCTTCATCCGCATGAAATAATATAAACTTCATTTTATTGTTTACATTTGTCAAATTCTCAATTGCAAATGTCAAAGTTACCATTACCATAAAAACCTTGATTCCTTAATGTTGGCAGCTTGTAGTTTATGGTCCCTTTCCCACATTAAGATTTTTACCAATTTATTTACCTACTAAATTTAATAGCGTGAAAATGTACAACCTAAGCGTGTTGAAATGTACTGTTTTTTATTAATGAAACAATCAAAATTATGATGTGATTGCTGACATCTGACGTCATAAAATAGTGTGTGTTTACGCTTTATTATATTAGTAAAGATAGATAAAACAATAGATAAATTATCCGACTTTAAGAGCTGTTCCACAAAGGTTCAATGTGAAACGTTAAAAATAATAGTCCAGTAACAGGATGCATTATTCAATTGATATTTTCGGGGGAGCTGAAGTCCACTTAGATGAAATTGTTTGGTCCGCAGCGGACAAATATTTTCAAAACAGGGGGCCACTGGGGCGATTGTCAAATTGACCGAATGATTGTGAAGGGGGAACGAATGAATGGGATCTTAGCAGTGTCGACCATTCAAATATTTTATGGTTATAGTAATTAAAATCGATGTAATATTTTAATTGAAAATGGAACAATTTTAATTGAAAATGGAACAAACAGATAAATGTTGATAAGTTATACAAAAATATAAAACATTTCCAGATAGTTGAGTTACTTTAAAAGCATAGGCTTTTGCCAGGATCTACATGTAAACATCTGAAAGGTACAGTCGGGCAAACAGGCGGTGGTCCATCTTAAAAGCTACAATCGTTTGAATATTTTGAAACAAAACGCGGAACATAAACAACAATGCATCTTATAAATGTGTCTGTACGACAAAAAGGTTGTTCGAAGTCTAATTATTTGAAGGAAGAGGCGGAGTTAGTATTGTTGCAATGAACGAGGCAATTATACCTGAAGTGGGCAACCGAGGATTAGATTTGATAAATGAAATCAACAACCAACCACATATAAACTTAAACTCATTCGAGTGTGATATAGTACAGAGTGATTAAATAAAAGAGAATGAATTTCAAAAGCATTTCTTTAGCTATCGCATCAAGAATCCCACGTCGACTTAAGTACCAAAGATATCAGATTTTACAATAACATCTGCAGCCGCATCGTGCGTTATGCTATCACCATAACGGCACCCCATCATCCGCACGATCAATTTAATTATGCCAACCGAAAGTGCGTCTATACACACCTTTAATTCTATACTAAGAAGGTTTATAATCCTATGAACTAAGGACAAAACATCTTTGTAATGTGACACAATTCGCTGCGCAATCGCACGTCATCATCACGATTTGCCCTAAGGTTACCTCTTGCATTTACCGCATTTTAGTTCGTATTACAAAGCAGTAAGGTAGTGGTCAGATAAAAGATACCGTAGGTAAATTCGTGACAGGCCTTTGGGAGACAACTTTAGACTTCATAGATGTTCTCATTTGATATTTACATCTTATTTGTATTTGACTTCATTTACTATTTAATTTGCCTAAAGACAAACTATCACAATATCAAATAAATTATTAACGCCCAATAAGCAATTTTACAGAAAATACGCGACAACCCTACACCTATAAGAATTAATTTTCACTATTAGACAATAGATGGCGCTAACAAATTTCAAAAATAAAACGACATCTGTTGGTCAATCGTATAAAAGTTGACAATGATTTAATTTGAAGTTTTCAACATAATACTATAAATTCATTATAAATGTTATAAAATACAAATATGTCCATATTATTTTTTTCCAAAAATTAGTTACACTAAAAAGAACTTGTAGTAAAGATTTTAAAAACTATTCTAGAGAAAGCAAAACTACATATTTAAACTACGAAATCTAAAAAAAATAAAACTATACGCATTTTGCTATTCATTAACAACCTCCAGCGGCATCTACAAATACGGAATGTTAAAATGTAATCTTTAATGCGCGTACGACCACTCACTGCACTTGATTGAATTTTGTTAGCCTCACTAATGTCGCAGTTCTCGAATAGATGGCGCAAAACTTAATATTTGAATTGGCAAAACTTTTTAAAATGTAATATTAATTACAGAAGCTGATAGGTTATATTTTCCTAATTATAGATATTATTTAATATTGTCCAGTACTACAGTATTAAACTGTAATTTTGTAGAAAGAGAAATAATCAAATTTTCATTTTCCTTCGTAGCTTTACAATGAAATGCGAGAAAAATTGTTTATGTCCAATATTTACATATAAGAATTGGGGCTCAAAAAATGCGATATACATAAAAGATTTGGTTAGACTTTTCAAATAATTTTATTTGGCACGTCTGAAACATGAATACTCCGCTGCGCGACGTGCCAACTTCAGTGTCACGTACTAGAGTTTAATGACCGGATTGCAAAATAAACAATATTTCAAACCAGCAAGTTCGATGTAATAAAAAATTGTATTACAATAAGTATTTAACGTAACTTGCAACCTTGAAGTTTCTCTCAAACTCTTTAGATAATACAATTTTTGTTTGAATTTTCTCAAAAGGTACCAAACTACATACTTAACAGACCCTTATGCCCCACCAGATTGTAAATTGTCTGATAATCCAAGGTGTAAATATGTGATGGAAATATTAGATTTTGTTACCTTATCTGACACTGACGTCATTTTTAAGCTATCTCTATCAGCTAGTGGTGGGACAGGCCCTTAATATTTTAAATGCGAAACATAGAATGGATGATTTGTTACCGTATATCAACACAGATTATACAACATAGTCTTGAATACATAGGCTATTTCATGTTTTTTTTTATTCCACGCGGACGGTGTCGTCGCAATAAGAATATAGTCTGTAGGGATAAAGAAAGAAAGGAAAACCTCATAGAAAAACATTATTACATATAAATGTTTCATAAGTTGATTTATAATTGACTAACTTTCTCCCGCGATTCCGTCCTCGTGGAATTTAAAAAAAAAGAAAAGTAAGCAGCCTATGTGTTCTTCCAGTCTATCCTCTACATCTATGCCAAATTTCATTGAAATATGTTCAGCCGTTTAGGCTACAAACTCTAACGAACATCCATCCATCTAAACTGTCGCATTTATAATATTAGTGAGACAAGATTTGTTGATTTGTTGCTTGATTTTGTTTCTTGGGTTCCTCAACGTTACATCATCTGCTATAGCTTTTACGCGTCACATCTTATGTCTTTTGTAACCTGACAACATAATATGGTAACTTCGTGATAATTAACGTTAAAATATATCCATTAATTTCCATTGAAACGCTTTTCTAAACGTATATGTTCCTGTCTATACTATAAAGATATAGATTAATTTGATGACTATAAAAGAATTTACCAGCATTTATTTACTAATGGAAGTAGTATCCCATTGCAAAAGCGTAACAAACAAAATACTTTTAAACTCATAGTATATTAAAACGAGAATGTTAGATTTAATTCCATAATATTTGCATTAATCAGCCGAATTTTATAACAAAAATTTAACCATTAATCTCAAGATTGCGTAAATAACTTAGGCTTTGGCTCTACGAAAACTTATCTAGTCGTTTACTCGCCTATTAACAAAGCAGTCGACAGTTGATTTTATTTAAACTGTGAATACAAAGCTATATATATCTCTGAACAACAGTACACGGTCAGTATTGCGGCTTAACGGGCCCTGTCACCGGGCTAGTGACCGTCTAACGCGATAACAAACACATCTACAATGGCATTCGTTTCGACTACAAGTGTTCTGTTTATGTTATTCATATTGACTTCCGCAAAATCTATACCAAATTATATCGAGAATCGAATAAATTTAATCGAAAGTGAAGTGGACATGCAATTAGGAAGTGATGTGATTTTAAACGATGATGAGAAACAAGCCAACGAAATATTAATGCATTGGAAACAAAAGGAAATCGAAGAATCGTTTCGCAATCCGCAACATTTCAATTTCTCGAAACATTATTTTGCGTACAAGAACGATATACCTAAATCTAAAGTATATCAAATCATAAAGCGAATGCCTAAAGGTGCGGTACTACACGTGCATAGCTCTTTGATGCTTAGTGCAGATCGCTTGCTGAATTTGACCTACGAAGAACACCTGTATATGTGTAACGATGACGGTGATTTGCAATTTAGATTCTCAGAGGACACTCCCAAATCACCTTGTTCTATCGACTGGGTACTGCTGAAGGATCTAAGAAATTTAAATGGTGCAAAATTCGATGAATCGTTAAAAGAATATTTAACTCTATTTTCTGAGTCTGATAGTGTTTGTAGCAAAACAAACGATATTAACTCGATCTGGCGCAAATTTGAAAAAGTATCAAACTTAGTATCCCAACTAATTATTTATAGACCGGTAACTGAAAAGTTCTTTTACGAAGCGTTGATTGAATTTTACGAAGATAACATACAGTATATTGAAATAAGAAGCGGTTTGAAAACTCTGTACGAATTAAACGGAACGGTGCATGACAAATTGTATATGCCGAGATTGTACCGTGAAGTGGCGGAGCGTTTTAAAAGAGATCATCCGGACTTTGTGGGCGTTAAATTGATTGTGACCAGACACAGACTAAAGACAGATGAAGAGATACGCAAGACTATAAATATGGCTAGACAGGTGAAGCAAGAATTGCCGTCTTTTTTTGCTGGGTTCGATCTCGTCGGGCAGGAAGATTTGGGTAGACCGTTGTCTGATATACTGCCTTTCTTGGCAGAAGCGAAGAATGACTTACAATATTACTTCCATGGAGGTGAAACTAACTGGTACGGGACTTCAGCTGATGAGAATCTGTTTGATGCTGTTCTTTTAGGATCGAAGCGTATAGGTCACGCATACGGTCTGATTAAGCATCCATCTTTGCTGATGGCTGTGAAACAGAAAGATATAGCGTTGGAAGTGAATGTAGTATCAAATGTGGTCTTAGGTTTAGTGCATGATGTGAGGAATCATCCGTTAGCGACGTATTTAGCGCTAGGTCTGCCGGTCGTGTTATCTAGTGACGATCCAGGAGTATGGGGCGCAGATCCATTGTCCCACGACTTTTATATAACTTTCGTGGGTGTTGCGAGCAAACGCGCCGACTTACGTCTTCTGAAACAACTGGCTATTAATTCTATTAAGTATAGTACGTTAAATATACAACATAAGGAAATATTGTTCAGAGTATTTTATTCTAAATGGGATGTCTTTATCAAACAGGTACTAACTATGAGTGCAACTCTTTGAGGTATAGATAAATGCAATTTATTATATTACTTTATAAGAATTCTGTATAGAACCCCAGTCATTAGGTTACTTGTATATACGATTTGTGTATGTATTGTAAATAATTTTACTAATAAATATAGACAATGTAAAGATTTGTTTGTCTATTTATTTGAAACATAAACTATTGTTTTTGCTCTTTATCGTGGTAATGAATGTTTTGTTGTTGAATCAATACGTTAATTAACTAATAGTAAACAAATACTGTTAGCTATAAAATTCCATTTAAAAACTTAAATAATAATGTTAAATTCTATACCATAAAACAATTGACATAAAGTTTAATTTCCTTTAACCCTGTCCGGAAACTTATATCTCAGGACAGGAAACACAAGTAGAGACTATGGTTGACTTCCCTAAAGAGATATACATAATTAGTGGTAATCCATAAAAGTCGTTTTTTCCTTATTGAAAATTAAATTGATAAAATCTATCTCCATATGTGTAATATGTGTAATATTCAATATTATGATTACCAGCCTACGTCCCCACTGAAGGACTCCGAGCCTAAGTATGGGTGACCAGGCCATAGTCAACCACGCTGGCCAAGTGCGGGTTGGTTGACTTCACACATATCTTTAAATTTCGTCGCCGATATATTCAGGTTGCATCACGATGTTTTCCTTCACCGGGTATGTACATATGAAAGAAAATATGAAAAATCGAAAATCACATTGCTACATGGCGGGATTGGAATTCAAGATCTGATCCAAGTCAAGTGCTTAAACCACTAAGCCACCGACGCACAGGACATATTGTGTGTCTATTTTACGTGCACATTAATCTCAAACTTCACGGTTGACACCAATTAGTGTGAAGCGACACCTAACGACCGCGCAGATAAACGATGCGCGACGTGTGAACACGCCTTAATTAGCTGCAAGAAAATAAAATTAAGCAAACATTTACTTTTAAACGTCGAATATAGGACACAAGTCTTCGCCTTTGACTCCGTCGGCGTGATATTTATAAAATAAAGCTAGTAGCCTATTTGTTCTTGATTTTGCTCTACATCTGAACCAAATTTCCATAAAGCCGTTAGGAGGTTATGTTTAGATGGACTTTATAAAAACTTAGTAAGATTTTATTTATCTGACCAAACAATCCTTTCCTCTAAAAAAGAGCTTCTCAAATCGTCTGCTTATCTTTAGGCTTGTTTCTATATTTTAATTAGGTATTTTTCCTATCGTTACTCCTTTATCTATGTGACAGTTGTAATTTTGGATTCCAAGTTATTTTACAAGTAAATTATAACATCATCATCATCACCAGCTCACTATACGTCCACACTGAGGCTTGGAGCTTACCCTAAATAAGGGGTGACAATGTGAGTGAAAATGTATCATTTGTGATTAATTAAAAGCTTTTTGCTAATATAAATGTTTCTCAAACTTGACGGCAGATTCTGTAGAGCGAGACTGTTTCAAACGTTGCGTGTAAACTCTTAATTAGTGAAAACGTTTATGGAGAAGATGAATAAATCGACTATTAGTCGTTCACACTTTTGATAATAGTTCGTCTTAATTATAAATTACTAGCTGTTGCTAGCAACTCGCGTGAAATTGAAAAAATAGCCTATGTTACTTACGAAAAACGTAACTTTTTAATAATGAAAGAATTTTTAAAATCTTCCCAGCAGTTTTTGAGTTATTTCAATACATACAAAAATCAAAAAGTGTAAATCTTTTCTCTTTATAACATTAGCAAAGTAAGGATTTCGTTACTTTTTGTAACACTGTTTTTAATATGGACGTTGACTATACAGTCAGCTGCATACATTTGTATATACTAGCTGTTGCCCGCGACTTCGTCTGCGCGATATTAAAAAAATCATACGAAAAAACAAAAAAATTTTATCCCTCTGGAACTTGATGTTCAGAGATGAATCCCATGGGTTACTCCAGATTTTGTTTTATATCAGTGCCAAATTGATTAAGATATGTTGATCCTTTGCAGAAGTGAGTAAACGTGAAATAACAAAATTAACGTATCCCACGGGAACCGTAATTATTCCTGGGATCAAAGTAGTCTATGTGTTCTTCTATACTATGCTCAACTTCTACCACAATTTAATGGAGATCCGTTCAGCTGTTTAGGCTACAAACTAACAAGCATCCATCCATCCGTCCAAACTTTCACATTTATAATATTAGTAAACTGTAAGGTTATACGTATTTATGAAGCTGACTGTACATTCTTAAGAATCATACCTAATGTTTGCTTACCACTAATTGTTACGTCACTTACCTTTTAAAATAATGAGGTAAAACAAAAGTTCAAACACCTAAAAAATGACAGTCTAAAATCTTTATCAGTATCATTTTTCATTTATCAAATTGATATCTGGCTAATATCTATTAGATTTGATTAAAATGTGACGATTGTTGGAATCGAGCGTTGATTTCAGTTGTTACCAAGTTGATAGTTCCATTGTCGATATAGGCTTGGAAGTTTGCTCGTTTGCTACCTTATAGCTCGCGACTTCGTTCGGATTAAATTTAAAAAAAACATAGCCTATATTACTCACTGATAAAGGGGCATTTTAATGGCGTTTTTTTTTTAAATAGGCCCAGTAGTTATTGAGTTATTTCAATACAAACAAATATACAAATGTTTCCTCTTTATATTATTACATATATAAAATCCTGTCTTACTCGTTATATAGAATTTAGTTGTTAAATATGAACTTGTTACCTTTTTTACTTCACCTTTTTTCCCATTACCACCAAGTTAATTGTCACTAAAGATCAAATGGGATTTGTGATAACTTAAACTCATGTTTAATAAATTAATTACATTTATTACAAATTTATTTAATAGTTAGATACTTACAATAATTATAAATAATTATAAGTAACAACAATAACATCTTTCGGTGTAAAAACAACTTGTTGGACCTGTCCCACCAAATTGTAAATTTACTGATAACAATCGAACGTGTAAAATATGTGATATCATTGTCGGATTTTGTTACCTTATCTGACAGTGACGTCATTTTAAGCTATCTGTGCCTTTATCAGCCAGTGGTGGGACTGGCCCTAAATATGTTAAAAACTGGTGGGTAATAAATATCTACCAAACGTACAAACTCTTTTATGTTTAAAAACTACATTGTTATCTTTCACTCGAATAATTAAAGTGGGACCTAACTTTAACTACTACCTTTCAGATAAAAAAAAATCATTAGCAAAATCGGTCCATTAGAGCCGGAGATATACGGTAACACACATAATTTACAGTCGAATTACTAACCTCCTTCTTTTGGGACTTTTAAAAACAAACATATCAGCCAGTGACAATTAAATACATTGTAATTTCTTATTGTATGATATTACCTAAAGATATATCTACAGAACGTTGTTGCTTACTGGTAACAGATAAATTCCTTCCATATCAAATTTATAATAACATCGTAATCAAACAAAAATTCATAATAATCATAATTGTCGTACAAACACAGATAATATTCATCTGATAAATGGTATTCAAATCGAAAAACTAAAAAGATAACAGTCAGAATTAAAATGAGATTATTTCACTATTAAAAAACTTGATAATATCCAATTACCATTTGCCCCTAACAATGCTATCGATAAACCTCGTCCAGCGTATATTAAATTCATGTACAATTCTATCTTTATTTGAAATACTGCTATAATACAAAGAATTCAAAGCTAACTTCTTTAAAAGTCTCAAATCAGCATGTTTGCTTGCGACACCAACGAAAGCGATATAAAAATCATGTGACAAAGGTTCAGCTTCCCAAAGACCTGGATCATCACTTGATAAAACAATTGGTAGCCCGTTGGCTAAAAACGAAGCAAGAGGATGGTTTCTAGCATCTTCGACGAGTTTGAGAACTTTATTAGATATCACATTTACTTCTAAAGCGATGTTGTTCTTTTTAACTTCTTCCATTAGTACAGGATGCTTAATTAAAGCATAACCGTGGCCGATTCGCTTAGCCCCAAGAACTATAGCATCAGCCAAGTTCTCATCAGAATCAGTGCCGAACCAATTAGTCTCTCCAGCGTGGAAGAAATAATTTATTTCATCGGATGCATCTATAAGTTCTGGTAGGAAATCTTTTAAAGGTCTTCCTAAATCTTCTTGTCCAACTAAATCAAAACCAGCGAAGAAATTAGGCAATTTTTCTTTAATATCACTTGCAATCGCAAGATGTTCTTTTACAGTTTCTCGATTACCAATTCTTAAAGGTGCGTAAATTAACTTAGCGCCAAAGAAATCTGGATAATCGGATATAAATTTATCTAAAACATTTCTGTAAGTCTGCGCTGTAAATATCGCATTGAAAACGTTTCCTTGTAGATCGTAAAGCGGAGGTAACACACTACGTATTTCTATATACATAATATTATCTTGTCTCGCGGCTTTCAATGTATCATAGAAATATTGTTCCCACACAGGTTTGTATGTAAACAGACCGTCTGTATTTATAAAATACTGTTGGAATTTACTCCAAGCAGCATTTATATCTGTATAAATTTCTTGAGGATTATCAATTACCAGAGTGAAGAGTTTCTTCAAATCGTTATCGAATTTTTCAACATTTTCTGAAGCATTTCGAGCTTCCTTCATTAACTGCCAGTTGTTTTCGCAATTGGTATTTGGTTGATTTTTAGAGAACAAAAATTTGGTATTATCATTTCCGAAACACACGTACAAGTTATCCCAATACGTTAGTTTGAGAACGTAATCAGCTTTGAGTATTGCGGTGTCATGTGCGTGTAGCATCGCGCCTTTTGGCATCCTCTGTATCAATTTGAACAATTCGGATCTATTAACTTCTGCATTATAATCAAAAAAATGTTTTGAAAAATTAAAGTATTGCGGATTCACAAAACTAAAATCCAATTCTTTCATTTTCATCTTCATTATAATTTCATTCGCCTTTTGTTCACTATCACTTAGTACCATACCGCTTCCAGGCATCATATCCAGTTCTTTTTGTAGAAGAATTTGTCGTCTTCTAAGTGCATTTTCAGTAGCGGCATTTTCTGATAGAACTATTATTACACTTCCTATTAAAGTACCAACAAACACGGTCCACTTTCCAACCATCGTAAGCCACTAAAATAAACTATACAAAAAGAACAACTTAAATATATTCAGACCAAGGTTGTTCAACAACCGGACGATAAAAAAAGCTACCGCACAAAGAGTTAGTCGATTATTAGTTATGAAAAAATTTAGCATACACGTGTACACCGTACTGAATTATCGATATTAGTGAGTATCTGTCGATAAAAAACTATATCGAAGCATAAATGTTTTTACACGGTGTCACACTTTATCGACTACGATCGGCAGCTGATGTCTCGATTATGTTTTAGATTACGTCACATAAAGTCTCATGTAAAATAAACTTTTCCCGTCAGCGAAACACTAGTAATATGACCTAACTCCGTTTTCAGTATTATTTAGTTATTAATTACATCAAGTAATATAGACCGTTACAGATATCTGGCTCAGTGGGTATTAGACCAACTATATTATGACTACACTAACGCTCTCCTGTAAATATCAAAAAAATATCGCAAGATTTTTTTCTGTGTTGTTAAATATTTTCTGACAAGAGTAATCGGCCTCTTAGCAGCAAGATATCATATTTTGTCTAGTTATCAGTTGAAATTAGTTCTGTCTCTTCGTCTTTTAACTCGTCAAATTATTTTATCAACTACCTTCTTCAAACCTAAAATTAAATCATAATTAAAATCAAATGTTATTATCTTAAGGGCCCGTCCTACAATTCTTGTAAATTGTCACATAACAATCAAACAAATACAATATGTGATGGAAATATCTGAAATTGGTACTATCTGACAGTGAAATCACTTTTAAGCTACCTGAGCCTCTATCAGCTAGTGGTGGGACAGGCACTTAATCTAATTGCATAGTTTCTTTAACTTATTGAGCATAAATTAGGCAGGTGACATATACTATCATATTTATGATATTATTTGTTCATTTAATACAAAACTTGTTTCTTAGTTTTGATTTATTACAAACTGTGGATATAAAAATTAAACAAACAGACAAATTAAAAGATTTATGATATAATTGTGCTCTAAGTACAAAAGGTACTTCTTATTATAATGCTTATGTAATGGATGATTTATTAAACAATAACCTAAGCATTGTGTTAGCCACTGAGTTAGTAAATTGCCACCTTTTGTATTGTTAGAAATTATGCTGTTCCAGACATACAGATCTATTGTTTACCTTATTTCAATAAAATAATTTACACTTTTGTACTCAATGTGGTTTAAGATCTTGCTTGGGTTCGTAACTTAGTGTTGTTAGACGAGCGGAGTATTCTCAGCTTATTGATGGCGCTGCGGTTCACATTTTAGTTTCCAATTACGTCAACACGTTAAAACAGACCGATTCGCTTAGCTGCTTGATTCTGACTTTTACCGCACACCTCTCTGTAGGGATACTGGAGAAGGATTTTCCATCTACCCTCCATTGCAGGAGAAATAAAAATAAGCTCGGTGACCCACTTTAACCCGGGCCGAGATATTCAAACTATATTCGCCACCGAATGTAACGAACGCATACGATTTGAACACAAAGTGAATATTTTTTTAGAGTTTACCTTGTTTATCTTACTAAACTATAGCTTACAAAGCGTGGGCACATCACTAACACATTGAAAAGGCTATAGCGCGATATTAAGCGATAAAAAGTACTTTATTCTTTAAACGGTGTAAATTACAGCCAGCGGCGTCTAACCCAAGGGGGTTTCGGTTTCAAAGCGACGCTCTAAAGAAAATAAAAATAATGAAAAAAAATAAAACCGAAAAGAAATAATAAGGCCGCGCCTCATCCGCCATGTTTGATTTTATGCAGCGAAAGGGTTGGGGTAGGATTAAGTGGTGCTTAACTGTACCGCCCCGTACTACGCATTCGTTTAAAAAAAAAGAATAAATATGGCGGCGAATTCACGTATGCTATCCCGCATGTAAAGTTACACTCCTTTCACTTTAATCTTCTAATTACAAATCTCAAAGTTTATGACACTGAAGCCCGTCTTCGGAACAAAGGACGCACCCTACAGCCCATCATAATCTCCAGTATGAATTAAAATCCCTCCTAACTCTCCATCAAAATATTCTTATATAGCTTTACAACACATTCCATGCCTATTTCTTTAAGTGTACACTTTAATTTTCTAACAATTCATTAACACCTCACCTGCCATCTATTCATCTGGCGAGTGTACTTTCGTGCCAAAAAAATTATGGCATGGAAAGTGTTAAGCCACTGAAAGTATAATATAGTATAGAATCAATCGTTTTATCAAATTAATGTAGACCTAGTTTCCACTGCAAAATGTGAATTTCAATATAGACATCAAATAAATGTAATATCCAAACAATCGCGTAATGGAAATATTAATACAAGTACAATACCCAATACTATTTGCCTTTGACAGTAATATTTATGTAAACAATATTAAATACTGATCACATCCTCAATAATATTCTATTGAAAAAGACATAATTGTATAAACTAACCTAATTGTTTAATGAAGATAATTATTATATGAAGTAAACATTTTTAATCCATGCTTGTAACGTTAATTAGTTCAAAAATAACCATTAGTACTAAATCAACCAAATACATAATTAATATATTAACAAAACAGTAACAAGATTTCGCATAAACATAGATAATTTAACTGAAAAACAAACGTGATTAAATTCATTTAAAAACAATTTGCTGATCGACAAAGGTCATTGTGCTGCGTGGTCAGTCAATATCGAACATTTGCCACGTCCATACGTTAGTCAACATGCGTGCTGTGATATTCCTATTGTGTCTCCTAAATGTGTACGCTTCAGATATCGATGAGTATTTTGATAAACGATACAAGATACTTAAAAGTGAATCCAGATCGTCTATCGGTGGCAATGTTACCCTCAGTGATAAAGAAGCCGCTGTCAATATCTGTTTGATGCATTACAAGTTCAAGGAAGTTGACTACTGGTTCGATAACCCGAGGTATTTCAATTGTTCACGACATTATTTCACTTACAAACAATATATAAAGACATCTAAAGTGTACAGGATTATACAGGATATGCCTAAAGGTGCAGCGCTTCATGTCCACGATATGGGACTCTTAGGTCCTGATTATTTAATGAATGTAACATATCAAGATAATCTTTATGTTTGTTTTGATAATAACTTGCATTTGATATTCTCCAACACATTACCAAAATCTCCCTGTGATGGACAATGGAAATTAATGAGTATAGCTAGAAGTTCTTCAAAAAACGTGACTAAATTCGACGCAGATTTGAGGAAGCATTTCACATTATATGTGAAAAATCCGGATACAGTTTATCCGAGCATACGAGAGACTTGGAGATCGTTTATGAAGTTCTTTGTTACTGTCCTGCCGATGCTGTCTTACAGACCAGTTTGGGAGCAATACTTTTACGATGCTTTAAAGAAATTTAGAGAAGACAATGTAATGTACTTAGAAGTTAGAAGCATATTACCTAGTCTATACGAATTGGATGGTACAGTTTACGATCCGATAGTCACAGCGAAAACATACAAGAAGGTGATTAAAAACTTCATGAAGGATCACCGCGATTTTTTGGGTGCGAAGCTTATATATGCACCATCTAGAAAAGTAGATCGTGCAAAGCTGGAAGAGTACATAGAACTAGCAAAGAGAATAAAACAGGATATGCCCGATACATTCGCTGGGTTCGATTTAGTTGGACAGGAAGATTTGGGAAGTCCACTTATAGAATTTGTACCACAACTATTGGAATCCGCATCGGAATTGAATTACTTCTTTCATGCGGGAGAAACTGATTGGTATGGTACACTGACAGACGAAAATCTCATAGATGCAGTGTTACTGGGAGCTAGACGTTTAGGACATGCGTACGCATTGCCGAAACATCCTCACGTGTTGAACGAAGTTATAAAGAAAGACATTGGTTTGGAGGTTAATGTGATATCGAATGCGGTGTTGTCTTTAGTACGTGATATAAGGAATCATCCTTTGAGTGCGTTTCTAGCGCACGGCTTACCAGTTGTACTATCAAGTGATGACCCTGGAGTGTGGGAGGCGGATCCTCTCTCTGAGGATTTTTATATCGCGTTCGTGGCAGTAGCCAGTAGACTATCTGATTTAAGAATGCTCAAACAGCTAGCGATAAATTCGTTAAAATACAGTGCTTTAGACGCGATCTCAAAAGTTGACGCGTTACGAAAATTCAACTACAAATGGAATGATTTTATTGATAACTTTAATTGTTCTAAGTATTCAAATTAATTATGAAAGTATTAAAGTAAATTACGTAAATCCTAATTTATTGAGGTTTTATTTTCAATACCATATTTAAAAATGTTTTATACTTTAAATTGCGAAAGTTTAGATGGATGGTTGTTTCTTAAAGATTGTAGCCTAAACGGCTGAACGGATTTCGATGAAATTTGGTATAGATGTAGAGGATAGTCTGGTAGAACAAACAAGCTACGCGCTTTTGTTTAATTTCTTCCCACGCGGACGGAATGGCGAGCTAAAGTTAGTAACTAATAAATAATAAGTGCAATTAAACATTGAGTACACAACAATTCTGACGACTTCTGTATAACGTTTCTCTTGTTTATTATTTCCTTATCTGTGCTGTTATTCGAGTACAAAATGACCGTAGATAAAGATACTAAATTAATACATCCGGTCGAACGCGGTCAACGCGGCTTATGGCATTGCATTTGTAAAGTAAACATAAATATTTGCCATTCGTGTCAACGTTAGCGTTACATGCCAAATTATTCAATGTTTCTATTATGTTAGTTGATTAATTTCGCTTTAAATTTCAATGATTAAGACTCGTTTAATCTTGAATTATTTTTTTAATCTTAGAAAATATTGAAAACTTACTAAGAATTACTAAATCTACTGATATATATCTTTATGAAGAGAGAGCAAAGATTTTTTTTTATTCTTAGTTAGGTAAAGAGGGATTTTTGTCTTGGGAAAGACATGTCAATCCCATAGTGCTGCAGATCCTAAGAAACGAGCTGGCGTAATCGTACAGCCGCTTCAGAAAAGCAAAGATTAGTGTTTTTGTATGTATTGAAATAACTCAGAAAACTAATGGGCCGATAAAATTCTTTCACCATTAAAAAGCTACGTTATCAGTGAGTACCGTAGGCTAAGTTTTTATTTTCGTAATAATTTAACGTTCACACTGGATAAAGATATTAGGTAGTTATCTGTTTTGCTATAAAATACTTTTTATTTGAAACGTGACATTTCTTAACTGTCAAAAAGCGCGGGATTCGTATCTGTCATTTGCAATCTCGACAAGTATGAAAGCGTTGAAGTAGCGATGTGTGCAGATAGTATAAGCATTCGACTTTGTTCTTTATAGTCTGGTAGGCAAAGATCAGGTTCACAGCAGAGAATGGACTAGACGTATCTATAGGGCGAAGTTGGTGAAGCGACACCCTCGACAGAAGTGTTCTCTAGACTAACGAAGTCATTGTCTGGGATGCTACCCGCTCGTTGGGATTCGTATTTTCCATGTAATACCTAGGGTACGCTCTGCCACTGAGTATTCTTTGACTTGGAAATTATGTAACTCTTGAAATTCAAGTAAAGACTAGTTATGGAATCAAGCAGTCTGTTATTTCTTTACTAGCTAGGGCTTCCGACTCTGTCAGCGCGGAATTAAAAATAAAAAAATCCTATAAATAATTTGTATCTTTATTATGTATAGTGTAGGTTTCCCTTTTGTAGGGATATACAGCGAGTTGTACACATTTAGAAAAAAAACTAATTTATTCTTAAATTAAAATAATAAAATCTTTATTGAATTTCACTTTCCTTTCACTCAAGTTTAAAATAAACTGACATCATAGATAATTAATGCTAAAAATACGAAAAACAAATTTCCGCACTTAAGTCTTTTAATGACTACATAACAGTCGCTTAGTGTAGATTTTCTACGCTAAATGTACATTAAGGAAGGCCCTTAATAAGTGGGAGCATTTATTGGTTATTTTCATACTAAAAATTAAGCTATAACATCAACTATGTGCTCTAGTTTGACTACATTCAACTGCGCAATAAATTTAAAGAATATTTTTGATTATAATAAAAATACAATATTTATAGATAACATATAATTTAGTCTTCTCCCGCGGGTACGGCGTCTTCTAATCTCTTAATGTACTTCACTCGTAGTTCAGTCACAGCATCACCTCTTAATTGATCCTGAAATTAAAAAAGAAATAAAACATTTAATGCATAAAATCTTTTTCGACACAAATAAAATAAAACATAGATGGCGTTGGTTATGTCAAAATTTATTAACGCCATCTAGTATACCTTATAAGCACTGTTATTTTTTCTCGTAGACGAAAGTTGACACTATTTGTCAATAGATGGCGTTTTTACAAAACGATATATTGCAAAATCGTTTTAGGAAAATCATTACAAAAAACTATTTTAAACGTCAGAATATTGGTATTAAAAAATAGTAGTAATAAACATACCCCATAAAACTCAGTGGTAACATAGCTTTTTATGGTGTAAGAATTTTTAGAATTGGCCCAATAGTTCTTGAGTTATTTCAATACATACAAAAATACAAATCATTCCTGTTTATAACAGTAGTAAAGGCAACATCAAAAAACCTACCTGTACAAACCAGCACTGAACTTCTAGCTGTACCATTTGCAGCGCACCTCGTATTGCTCCAGGTATCAGAGCACAATACTTAAGACCCGAGTTTGGTATCTCCACCCACTCGCTGAGAGGGCATTGATCCCAGACCAGAGAGAATTCATCTCCCGCACTACTCCAGCTGGTTACAGTTGGCTGCATGTTGAGATACAACCTGGAACATAGAGTAATGAAATCTGTCAGCCAAATTAATAGTCTGGTTGAATATCAGCTCTGCGGCAATAACCATGTGTTACACACTGAGCCTGCAGCCCATTGTTATTATATTTTTTTTTTGTTAAATATATTCACTTTATGTCAATGTATGTATATGATAACAAAAGAGAGCTTTTTGTTCTATTTCTATAGTTAATGTTGTGTAAAGATTTTGTATAATGAACAAAAACCAATAGGAAGCAGCCAAATGTGTTTGTAAAAAATGTATTAATACATGGGTAAATAATTTTTATTATTATTCTATAGTTTGTAACTCACTGCTATCTAATTGATTATGTTTTAGAAGATGCGGAGTTTGTCTCATACAGAACAAGGTTAAATTTAAAAAGGCTTAACAACAAAGTGATCGTCCACACCCATCCGCAACACTGCTGAAGAGCTGTCTCGAAATATTTAGAGCCCGGCTGAATGTAATGTAACTATATTAAACAATACAATGTTACTTATAAATTGTATCACTTATGAATTTTGCTGTTCTTAATCTTAATGTTTTTAAATATCGAAGTACCTGAAAGCTTGTTGAATTTTATCCGCAGTCTCCCTCATCTCCAAGCAACGAGTAGACGAAGTACGAGCAAGAAAGTCCTCAATCAAGCGTACGCCCATATTATATCCGATGCGTTCCAAATGTTTATTTACTTCGTCATTATTCTCCGTTTCCTTTAACATTTGCGATACTAGGGCTCCATAAGTAAGTGTCAGTAACTCGGAATTCTGAAAAGAACATGATATAGTATTAGTATTATGAAATAAAATATAATGAATACAATGTTCAATCCAATCCAATCAAACTTACCACTTTCTTAGCATCAAGCCGAGATGTTTGCCTCGACATACTTGTGGTTTTTTCTACGTTTTAGTGTAATATATACTTTTAAAAATTATGATACGTGTACTTATTTTAAATACCTAAAATAGAGAAATTATCAATTATTTATTTCTTGATAGTCGCTTGTGATTCCAACTTGACAGTTAACAACTGACTTTGTGTTTTGTGTTGACACAAAATGTCATTGTCACCAAGCCTTTAGTGATGCGATAATATCGATGTTGAAAACCGATACGAGTCATACGCATTGACACTAACATTATCAGCAAAAAATGTGAAGTAAAAAAAAGACGTAAAAGATTCAAAAATTGCAGCATTTGACACTAATATCAGTAATTTCCAAAATCAATGCTCTAGTCTTTACTTATTTTTTTTTTACATTTTCTTTATAATATTTGGTTTAGGAAAGGTTCTTGGAATAGTTTAAATCAAAGAAATATGACAATCCGTTTTTATTCAATTTATTTATTAGAAGCAATAGTTTTAATAATCCAATCTGTGAAATGGGACAATTTAGTGTAAACTCCGGGATAGTAGCGTAGTCCACAGCCGAATCCAAAAGACACAAGTCCAACGACAACTCCTTTGTAAATTAGAGGTCCTCCGGAATCACCATAGCATCCGTCTATGCCATCCATTTCTAGATTACCAGCACAGAACATAGAATCTGTTACAACCGCTCCGATCGTGTTGTACCGAATAATGCATTCTTGTTGGTCTATTGTTACCATCATTGTGTATTGCAATTGATCTGGCTGTGGCCCACCACGCTAAAAAAAACTGCTATATAAAATTATCAGGTTTACTGTCCTTCATCTTATCGCATTTTGTTCATTTAACACCAATTATAAATCTTACTAACATTATAATTGCGAAAGTTTAGATGTTTGTTAAGAGTTTGTAGCCTAAATGGCTGAACGGATCTCAACGGCATAGGCGTAGAGGATAGTCTATAAGAACACAAAGGCTACTAACTTTTCTTTTTCTGAACTTCACGCGGACAGAGTCGCGGACGAAAGGTAGTTGAACTATAAGTATCAAAAAGTACCTGAGTCGCACCCCATCCTACTAGCGTACACAAGGAACTGGCAGCAACATCAGTACCTGGTTTTGTTATAGTGCCTTGTCTTGCAAACTTGGTCATCGTAATTGGTGTAGCCACCACTAGAACTGCCACATCATTCTTGTAGTAATACTTATCGAATGAGGGATGAGGTATTATGTTCTTTACCCTATGTAACACTCCACCTCTAGTGCGGTAAGATGATCCCACGCGCACCTTCCAGTGGTATGGTTTTGTGTAACTGAAAATATACATAATCATGAGTTTCTAAAGCCCATCGACATCCGTCACATTCACAACAGTGTTGTTATTTTTCTCTTGCTTTAAACGAACTAAAATCCGTAACACGTTTTAACTTTATTTATTCTTTACATTTTAGGTACTTACTTTCTTCCCGTATTTTCATTGTATTGGAAGCAATGAGCGGTAGATATAACATGTCGAGAAGTCAGAATAACTCCTGCACAATGCTGGCTGTACTGATTAGTGGCCCAAGGGTCTAAGAGTAGTTGAGCCAATATAGGATATTGGCTGATTGTTGTTGGCGCACCACCTAATACGCGCGTAAATGCAAATGGTAGTCGTGGCTGAGCTGAAATAAAAAAAGTAATTGTTGATAGCATTGGGATTGAAATGTTGTTCATTTGTTGACGAAATGGATTAAAAAGGATTCGCAGCCAATATTTCTAATTGCACAAAGTGAAAAACCTTTGAAAGGCTATTGAAATAAAATCTTAACGTCCATATATATGTATACATGTATCACTCGCACACTCAGAGTTAACGGGTATCAAATCAGTCTCTTAGTGTGCAGTTAACGACCTGTGGTAGTTGGACTTCACCTCTGCTAAATCATACTAATATTATAAATGCGAAAGTTTAGATGAATGGATGGATGGATATATGTTTATTATAGTTTGTAGCCTAAACGGCTAAACCCATTTTGATAAAATTTGGTATAGATATAGAGGAGAGTCTGGAAGAACACATAGGATACTCACTTTTGTTTTTATTTAATTCCAAGCGGACGGAGTTGCAGGCGAAAGCTAGTATAAAATATATGCCAAGACACTCTAAGGGCCTGGCCTACCACTGGCTGATATAGGCTTAGATATCTTAAAAGTGACGTCACTGTCATATAAGGGAACAAAATCCGATATTGCCATCGCATATATTACACGTTGGATTGTTATCAGACAATTTACAATTTGTTGGGACATGCCCTAAGTCTTCGATGAGTATACGTTAAAACACTTACCTAGAGCTAAGACAATTGTAGTAAACAAAACAAACACCACGTCTCGAGCACACATTACAGCTAAATAAAGCTTACAAGGAACGACTATGATATTTCTTGTATTTACTCACATTATTTGAACACACGCTAACCCAAAGAACCGTAAGCATCTGCTACTTTCTTGGACCTAACATACATTATAAGGTACTTATAGTATATTGTGTAGTCTAACGAAAGCGTCTTGGTCTGTTTAAAAAAACTGTCTTTAAATTTTGTAACTGTCTGATTCAATACCGTCACAGTAATTATATATATCTAGATCCCACTTTTTTTTCGATCTGTTCTGTTAAAATATAATTTAATCCCGCTGGTGCGCTTTACGTGTTACATTTAAAAACTAAAGTTATATTCTAAATAAAAAGTATCAAAACATATCAGTCGAAGTATATTGCCGGTAATGCAAATAGCTAGGTAATAAGTCTGAGAATCTTGGATCATCAATCACTTGTAAAATAATTTTAGATGTAGTAAATTGTTATGAGATCGTTATATTAACTACTCATTTATTACAAAGCTATTTAAATTACCGTTAGCTCGCGTGACTACGTGTTTGCATATTATCCTATTACATTTCCCGTAACATTAATCTATATACTAATTAAAGATTTTTATCCTTGGTTTCCAAAACTGTTTTTTTTTTTAAATAATTTATAGTGTACCGTTATCTAGTGATTGAAATATGTACTTTTTAGGGGTGACCGAATATACGAAACTTTTAAATTATTCGTCACGAATCGATTATTAGTATTCGATTCGAAACGCGAAATTATGTTTGACAGTTTGCGAACTCGATACTTTCGTGTGTCCATTTTTTTTTAAATTACACTCGAATTGTTTTTAGTAATTGCAATAATTTGAATTCATAGGTTATGTAAAATTCAACATTGAAATGAATGAACAGATTTTATGGTAAACATTTAATAGAATTAATAAAACAAATCATGATGAGATAACATTGTCTTATTAAAATGAATAACATATGTCTATATCTATCTAATAATGCCTTTATTTCGAATAACACTTTGTATTTGGTTATCTATACTTGTGTAATATTTCATTTTACTCAGTAACTTTGTGACTGTCTTCAAATCACCATCAAAAAATGCTTTAGACAATTTTTTCTGTAAATCTTTGATTATTGTTTTATTCTCATTGTTCAATTTCATGATTTCTTCATCCGAGTCCGCACTTTCCACTTCTTCATTTTTCTCCATAATCATCATAAGAAATTCTTGGTCAACTTCTGTATTTTCTGGAATTTCTTTACCTTTTAATTTCAACATGTAAATACCTGAAATTTTAATGAAATATTATAGATTATTATAACCTACAAATTTTACTTTCATATAATGAAATTGTAGCGGCATGGAATAATTGTAAAATAATTTATTATTTACTAGCTGTTACTTGTATTAGACAACTTATTAAATTGATACTGTCGCTTTTAACTCAGAGCAATACTTCTTGTCAAGACTCAAGTTACGCGCCAATCTATCCATACTTCTAGTGACATTGACAGCTGTCAGCTAGGAACGTGACGTTTATGTCGATAATCTAGAGTTGCGCCAATTCTATAGCACGGTACGGATTTTATTCCTAACACTTGCGATTTCGTTCACATGAAATTTAAAAATATAGCCTATGTTACTGAGCGGTAAAATAGCTTTCTACTGGTGAAAGAATTTTTGAAATTGGCCCAGTAGTTTTTAAGTTATTTCAATCTTTCATCATTATAATAATAGCATAGATTGTCATTAACACAACAATTTTAAGGCAATATTAGACAATTGTTTTCCACATCCTTTGCAAAAAGTAAACCTGCCAAACAACAACCAGATGGCAAATACTCTTGATTATTTTTGTTGTGGCATGATAGATTAATATGAACTTATTTTATTTAGTTAAGGTTGTTTGATTACATCTTGCACAACAGCATAACTTTTAAGTAATGTTAGTAAGTAATAAGGCCTAATTTTAGTTCCTTTCCCTTTCCACCCTTTTCTTAAGAGCAAAGGATGGGAAGGAAAAGTGGATTTGACTGTGGAGAAGACGCATAGGAAGGGAAAATGTCCTCTTTATGTGCGTCTCCTCTGTCTACTAAGGGATGGCAATGCATCTGCGATTGTGGATGTTTATGGGCAGCGGTTGCTTTCCATTTTGGAAGATTCAGGTGGCCGCTTGCTCATTTTTATATTATAAAAAAAGTAAATTATCTCTATAGTTTTATTTTAGTGTTTTAATATAGATTTGAATGTATTACCTCTAGCTAATGGTTCTAGTAAAGTTTTATAAGCTTCATTTACTAATGATGAATATTTTTCTGATATTTCTTGTTCTTGCTTTGGTCTGTAATTAAAACATAAAATTTTTATTTTTCACAATTCATAATCGTACTTCTTACTTATATTATAAGTGCAAAGTTAGGTGGATTAATTTTGTTAGAATGTATTTTAATAGCTGAACAGATTTTGATGAAATTTAGACTACTTAGAATATTTTTTTTTAAATTCTGCACTGACAAAGTTGTGGGCAAAAGCTAATAAATCTAATAATGATGTAACATTAAATTAGGTCATTCTTATTCTAGATCTTGTTTAGTTACAAAAATATAGATTAATTTGCTAATTCTAAGTTGATTTAAGATAGAAATATTCATAGGTAAAATGTATTAATTCAAGTATAACTTTTTAATCTTTTACAAATTGACAAAACTAAACAATTTACTTACTTGTTAGCAAATTTATCAGGATGAAGATATTTTTGAAGCTCCTTAAATTTTTTCGCAAGTTCAATTTCATCTAAATCGTATGTCTCGCTCACACCCATGATCTTGAAGTAGCTTATATTTGTACCAGGTTGTTGTAAAGCATTGCATTTTGAACAAAATAGATTCACCACCAAATTATTTACATTATTAGTACCACATGACCAACAAGAGATATATCTACAGTGATTAATTATATTCGATTTTAGGCCTACATTTGTAATAATATAACGTAAAGCCATATTTAAATGAAGCAGTAAAGTTGCAATCCTTTATGGATATATCAAATACTTGTGAAAGTTTCTTTAGGTAACAATTACATAATAACTATACGAGTACTTAATTAGCCTGTATCCAAATATCAGATATTAATAGATTTACTATTCAGGCAGTAAGAATTACTATGTTAATCAAATATTCACGAACGAACATTTTCAAGTTCATGTTTACGACACTAATAATGTCAAATGTCAATTTTGAAAGAAATCAGCTGATCGTGAATATTTTAAAGAATCTTGAGTACGCAGTACGTATAAACAAGTTTTGGTTTCAGTCTTCAATTTTGTTTTCAATTTTAGTAATCAAATTATACTTTTCTTATATTGTTTAAACAAGCCAATAAAGCTGTATCTCTAAAATATCTTTGAAGTGAAAAGCTAAATGGCAATTGTAAATTGTGGGTTTCCGATCGCTTTATCTGTCTGAAAAAACGTCGTTGTCACTGTCAGTTTTTGACTTTTAAAATGTAAATAATGTAATCAAAAGCATTTACAAATTATTAAACCTGCGAAAAAATGTTAGTTATCAATAATTAATTGAATTTTTTGTTTTAATAGTAAAAGTTTATTTATTTTGAAAGATCACTCATTCACAAAAATGGTGTCATATTTTACGATTGATTCTGTTAGTGAAGTAACAAATTTTCAGAAGGAGATATCAAACATTATGCACGGTTTAGGTGATAATCCCAATCCGAACGCCGCTACCGTAGTATTAGTAGAGAGTATAGTTTTAAACCAGCTTCGTTCAATGCTGCAAGAGGCTTATAATATTTCATTGAACCGTGGAGCAAAAGAAATAAGCAATTATGATATAATATATTTGATGCGTAAAAATAAATTAAAAATGAAACGTTTGTATGACTACCAGAAGAAATTGGATCATATAGATAAAACTCGTCAGGGGGCTTCAGACACGATACTTTCTGGGATTATTCTTGACAATGAAAAAGAACCAATATTGAAAAGAAAGAGAACACATATAGACTGTATAAAAGAGTTTGACGAAACAGACGAAGTGTCACAGATTAAATTTGATGCTATAGATTATTTTAGAAAAATACGAGCCGCGAAAATCACGGAATCAATGTCTTTTGATAAATATGAAGCATATCATAAGGCTAGATGTAGTTCATTTAGATCAGGTTATGCGGTAGGTAAAGGTTTTGGTAAATTAGAAAAATGGCTTAACCCAAATAAGGAATTAAAGATAACACTGTCTGCTTTAGAAGTATTATGCTTTTTGGCTTATGAAACTGTAGCGGAGATTGTCGATGCTGTATTTTTGATCAGACAAGATGCTAAAAAGAAAATAGGAGATCCATTTAGTAAATTTGATGGAGGACATTTTTGTAATCCTGTTAGTTTGAATAATGCAGTATATATAAAATCGGGGTATGAAGGTGTTTCTCCTATCACTGTACCGGAAGTCAGAGAAGTGTTAAGAAGATATTTTAATCCAATAACTGGTATGAATGGATTGTTCTATAGAAATATGAGTTTAGATTTACCTATAAGATATTTAGCAATATGAATTTTGAAGATTATATCTTGAAAAAAATTGTATTAAATAAATACTGTATCCTACAGGAGTACGCAGTGATTATGAATATTAATATAGTTTGTGGTCTATTTTATGGATTATAAAATTTGATGATAGTATTTGTATTGTCAGCGTTTTTAGTGGATTTTTAACAAGATTTATTTGTAAATAATTCTCCATGTAATTTTGTCATGTCATGTAACATCTTATTGATGTATATGAACTTGGTGTTATTGGCCAAAATAATTGGGCATAGGAAACAAACATTGATTTTAATTGATACATAATTTTTTTAGATTTAAGAATATTATTAAGTTGAAGTTATTAATAAATGTTTTTAAATTTAATTGTGTTTTAATAACTCATGTTAAGCTTTTATCAGCATCAGTTTACCATTTACTTATGTATTTATGTAATAAAATGTGCTTAATATTAATCCGAATTATGTCTATAACATTTGGACCATAATAGTGGTAGTGCCCGCTTTAACATCTTAGCACTGCAGGGCCGGCACGCCCGGTGTAATACCACGACCACACAGAAGACAGGCGTGAAATGCAAGCAATTCCGTGTTTCGTCTGATGAGTGTGGTGCCAGAGGCCTAATTTAAGTCCCTTTCTCTTTACCACCCTTTTTTATAAGGAGAGGATGGGAAGAGGAAGTGGATTTGACGGAGGAGGAGATACATAGGAAGGGGAGATATCCTCTTGATGTGCGTCTCCTCCTCTGTCGGATAAGGGTAGGCAACGCATCTGCAATTGCGGATGTCTATGGGCAGCGGTCGCTTCGCCATTTTGGCGGATTCAGGTGGCCGCTTGCTCGTTTGTCACCTTATGATATAAAAAAAAAATATGGACCAATTAAGTTGTACAGAAATATGAAAATACACTCAATGGAATCATTAAAATGACATAAAATAATGTGATTTAACTGAATGCCGTATGGGTTTTCGAAGCTTTTGAAATTTATTAAGATTTTCTAATCCCTTTATCGCCGTTATGAGCATCCCTTCGTTCGGACAGAGGGCGTCCGTTTATAACGACCCTCTTAAGCCATGAATCTTTCTTTAATATATTTATGAGGGATTCGAGTCCTGGCCGCAATCTGTTTTCCGGTTTAATTAATTTCGTTTTTAAATTAACATTAAGTTTTAGAATTCGCAGTAATAGGCATTACGTGTTTAATAAATTTTGTTACAGTCCTCATTCTCAGATATGTTCTCAAATATAATCATTTTACTATCGAACTAGCTATCGCTTGCGACTCCGTCCGCATAGCAAAAAAACAAAAGTGTGTAACCTATGTGTCCTTCCAAATTATCCTCTACATCTATGATATACCAAATTTCATAGAAATCCGTTCAGCCGTTCAGCCGTTTATACATCTAAACTTTCGTATTATTATTAGTGTGATATTTGAAGATAAAGTAAGTCTTCTAGAGATTCACTTACATTATGCTCTGGAATAGCGAAAAAAGTAGGTTAAAAAGATGAAAACTAAAAAGGGTTTTATAATTCTGAACAATTCATTTTAGTATGGGCATTTTAAAAGTGTACTTATTTGTGACATAGAGTATACTATTAAATGGTTTACGTCCAATGTTTTGTTATACCTAAAGCCCATCAATTAAACGCAAGATTTGCGAGCGGAGTCGGTCCGCCGGGGGAACTTCAAGGAGATTGAAGTACACTCACGGGCTCTACCGTCTTGAGATCTACTTTGGTTTAACGTATAGCATGTGGGTAGAATAGACGGTTGCAGGTTAGCTTTGTAATACCCACATGTTTTATTGAGCACAAGTTCCATTGAAAGGAAGTATTTGATATTAATTACTTCCGTTAAATTGTCTATTTCAAGTATGTATTGGCTATTTTATTTTATATAATCAAATAAAGCCTATGTTACAGATAAATTACCTTTCTAATAGTGAATTAATTTTTAAATACGGTCCTGTAGTTTTTACGTGAAACGAATACATACAAAGATACAAATCTTTCCACTTTATAATATTAGTATAGTTTTATCGTGGACTTCATCTGCGTAAATACCTAAAACAAGAAAATATAACATCATTAAAAATGGAGGTAATGATTTTTTTTTAATTTCGTGGGAGAACTTATGCTTCTGAAAATCGATTTAACCCTTTTATCTATTTAAACAAAATTTAAGTTCATGTAAAAACTCTTGGTATAGTTTGTTTTCTCGGAGACCACAGACTGAATCTATAACAAACGGCTATATAATAAACAGTGGTAGTGCCCGCTTTAATATCTTAGCACTTGGGCCGGCACGCCCGGTGTAATACCACGACCACACATAAGACAGGCGTGAAATGGAAGCAATTCCGTGTTTCGTCTAAAGAGTGTGGTGCCGGAGGCCTAATTTAAGTCTCTTTCTCTTTACCACCCTTTTCTTATAAGGAGAGGATAGGAAAGCGAAATGGATCTGACGGTGGAGGATATGCATAGGAAGGGGAAGTGTCCTCTTTATGTGCATGTTCTCCGTCGGATAAGGCTAGGCAATGCATTTGCAATTGCGGATGTCTATGGGCAGCAGTCGCTTCGCCATTTTGGCGGACTCAGGTGACCGGTAACTCGTTTGCCGCCACCTTATGTTAAAAAATGTACATTTTAAAATGTAACAGTTAAAATGAGTAAACGAATAAATGTTAAGATCATAAAGGAGGTGACCTAAAAAGAGACGGAAATTAAAAGTTAAAGACGAGGAAGGCTCGCGGAATGTACACGCGGTTGTCTTTTACGTCAAAGCTTAGTGTTGCTTTACTTTTGTTAATACTTTTAGGTATTTTGTTACTCTTTGATAAATAAGAAGATCAAAAAAACGTAGGATACAAAAATTCGAATAGAGTAAAGTGGAAAAGACAAACAAAGAAAGCTGTCACTATCGCCATATTTAGTGCTCATTGTGGGCACTAGCGAGTATGATCTTAGGGCTCTACAGAACACAAGAACACTTGAATCATCTCCAAATGTCGTAAGGGCCAGCCCGAGATATTGCAGTAACAAGGCTAGTGATTTATTGTAATATAATTAATTTATGATTATTTGCCACATTCGTAATCGTTAGTTTAAAAGCTCTATGTTGCAGTGGATCAAAAAAAAATATAAAAAACAAGCTTTCGCCCGCGACTCCGTCCCTGTGGAAAAAAGTGAGAAGCCTATGTGTTCTTCCAGACATTATTTTAGTTACGTTATTGGTTCTAGGTTTCCGTAATAATAATTCCAAAATCAATAAAAAAACTCTTAAAGTAATGGGTTGATTTTATGTCATTAAGGGCCCGTCCCACCACTGGCTGATAAGGTTCAGATAGCTTAAAAATGACGACACTGTCAGACAAGGGAACAATATCCGATATTTACGTCACATATATTACTCGTTAGATTGTCACCAGACACTTTACAATTTGGTGGGACAGGCCCTAACTATCTTAATAATATACCTGCTTGTTTATTAACACTTTAATCTTTAGAAAATAAACATAGTTATATTTTCCGTTTGCCTCTAGGCTAGTGTTTATTTGTAGCTTGTGGGCACAGTTAATGTGTGTCATAGTCCCGCACGGATTTACGCGGCGACTGCTTGTTTGTAAATTTCATTTTGCGGCCCTGAGAGTCTTCTGTCATGTTGAGATGAGAGCCCGGGACTCTTAAATAATAAACAAGCTCGTGTAATGTTTTTGGCTTTGTTTTATATCATTTTGTTGACTGTTAATAAAATTATGATTGCTGAGATTAAAGAAATCCCAATTACGAGTAGTATTGTCTCGAATTAATTGGTAAAAATAAGTAAGAGAAATAAATTGACAGCATCGTTCATCTAAAATACTCACATAACATGCTTCTAAAATTCACATTTTCGATCAACATTTGTGGTGACAATATCAAATGGCTCGAGTATTAACAATAATTAGATAGTCCCTAAAGTTTAGGATTTTTTTTTCAAATGTAAATTTCCCGCCTTGGTCTCGCGTTGTGCTTCAGTAGATAAAAATGTCTATTAATTATAATATACTAGTTTTTGCCTGCGACTCAGTCCACATGAAATTTAAAAAAAAACAAATGTAAGTATCCTTTGTGTTCTTCCAGACTACGCTCTACATCTATGGTTAATTTCATCGAGATCCGTTCAGTGGCTTAGGCGACAAACTTTAACAAACACCTTTACATCTGAACTTTCGCATTTATAACATTAGTAAAATAGTACACTCTATACGAGTATATCTCTTGTTTGTAATCGTAAAGAATTGTATGTTGCTGTAGTTATAGATAGTGGCCAGTGCTATTTTAGTGTGGCCATGATACTATACCGTTTATGAGCTGAAACTTGTAAATTCAATTCCATTGCACCGAGTTATATGGTTTTAAAATGAAAATATTCTGTACTCATTCTTTCAAACGCATTTCGTACAAAATGTTTGCATAACAATCTGATACAATTAGACGGTTAACTTAATTATAAATCTAATATTATCTACTATTACATTTTATAGCACAGTATCCAAACTGTCTGGAAAAACCCACAATTGGGTGTTTAGACGCTTTGACTTAATTTTGTATTGCGTTGTTAATAAATAAAAAAAATGAATAATAAAATAGCCAAAACACAATACCGTTACACTTATTATGATATAGTAAACTTAAGGTGGCCGTTTCATGAAATGGCCAGCCACATTAACTGGCCAATTAATAGTTTAGCCACGAGACCACGTTGGAGAAGCCAACGCCATTTACAACCATAGATAGTTGCCCTTTATTTACGACACGCATTACGAACCATAGATCTGATGTTTCTGTGTTAAAACGCCATATATCTTGTCAACACTTACTTGTAGCGTTATCGTCCCATACTAAATTCGCGACACATTAAAAACAATGTAACAAATGTAAAACCGCAAGATTTTTCACGATTGCATTTATGTGCTTTACATTTTGTTTCAAAGTATTTAAGGAGCACTTTCAATGAAAACATCACATCACTTTAGTTTTTATCTTGGTTATTTAATATCAAATTACAATTTTAGGTTAAGTCTAGTTGATATACAAAGTAAAATGTTACACTAATAATAAAATAATTAAAATTATATTTAAAAGAATTACGTAATAAATAAAACAGTTACTATGACAACATCACATCACGTTAAACTTGACATGTATTACATAGAACTTATATTAATCATACTTCATACTAATACTAATATCATCAATGCGAAAGTTTAGATGGATGGATGGATGTTTGTTAGAATTTGTAGCCTAAACGACTGAAAGAATTTGGATGAAATTTGGTACAGATGTAGAGGATAGTCTGGAAGAACACATAAGTTACTCACTTTTGTTTTCTTTTTAATTCCACGCGGACGGAGTCGCGGGCGAAAGCTAGTAACTAATATATGTTTGCCTTAATATTGAGAGAATGGGCTAAGCTAGATTTACTTGACTCGTCAAAGATATCATAGTGATTGTGGTTTAGTTTCTAAACCATGGTATTCAGAGTTGTACCAAATAACAATCAGAAGCTGCAATAGAATATTATAGTGAAGCGTTGAATTATTAATTACGTCATAAGTTTTACATCCTTATTCCTTTTTGAACACTTCTACATCGTTTTCTTTGTTCTAAATAAGGCGATCCTCTTATGGCATAAATCTTTCTTTAATGTATTTATAAAAGTTCGCATTGTGTGCCTCAATTTGTTTACCCGTTTGATTCATTTTGTTCAGAGTATTGTTGAGTTTTGTCTACTTGTACCTTCGAAAGTTAAATTGTGATGATTCTAGATACAAGATTTTTAATAAGGAATATATCTATCTATACTACTTTTATTATACTAATAAAGCGTAAACACACACTACTTCGTGGCGTAGGATGTCAGCAATTATAGCATTTTTTCTAAATAATTCTTTCTTTAATAAAAAGCCCTTCACTTACGACACGCTTTAGGCTATATATTTTCACGCTATTAAACTTAGGAGGTAAATAAATTAGTAGAAAACCTTCATATGGGAAAGGGACCATAAAACACAACTGCCAACATCAAGGAAGCCAAATTGTCATCGTTGTCATTTGTTTATTTTAGTTCTTACATTTGCAATTGAGAATGTCAAAAATGTAAATAATAAAATAAAGTGTTTATAATTTCGGGAACAGCTAGTTTTGAATAAATCTCTACAAAGTATCCAAAAATCTTACAATGGATTTTTATTATCGCTTTATACGTATTTATGAAAGTCACGTATTCCCGCCTTGTTTCGCAGCTCCGGGCGATTTCACACGTCATTATCTTAACATATTGCTCGAAAACAAACACCAGACAAACGCAGTGTATATCTGTTTTTATTTCATGACTCGACCGGATTGAGAAAAAGAAAAATAAGCGAATCCACTAAACACTTTGACTTTTAAGAGACAGGACCTGTTATGTTCGCATAATCCGTTGTGTCAAATATTACGCTGTCACGCAAATAAAAAAAAACATATATACAAATTGAGTATCTCCTTCTTTTGGAAAGACAATTAAAAAAAAATCTAGAATTGCTTGCTTGTGTGTTCGTTTAGCATAAACTGTCATTCAATGTTCCATCTTAAAATCGTAAGTATTAACACGTGTGATCGTCATCAGAACCTCACTCTTTTAAATGGCAGAGATTTTTTTGTAGAATGGCGGCTTTTGCCTAGTCCTTCCCTCTATAGTCCAAGTCCAAATAGATGCATAGAAATCGTAGTCGTTTGTAAGCAATGTGTTCTGTCTGTGTATTTGAATAAAACTTTAAAAAAGTATTTACTTTCTTCGTGGAATAGGATTGGTGTGATATTGAAGCAGAACCTTGACGATTTGAATAATTTTATATGTTTAAATTAAAAATAACTTACAAAAAGAATTTTTATACGATTACATTTAGATACGTGATTGGTTTTATGTAATCTTTATCAATATCTATTTCTATACATATAATACAATTGGAGTTTTTGTTTGTAATATCAACATAAAAAATTCAGATTTCGGGAAGATGGTGTATTTGCGTTGCTGGTAACAAAAATCGTTTTTAAAATTTGTTGTCTGTCTGACTGTCTGTCCGCAAGCCACGTTTGTTCCGGGCATTCTCCGAAACGGGCGGGGCTGATTTCGAATGGACGCTATTAAACTTAGAGCGCAAATAAATTGGAAAAAAAACATCACGTGGCAAAGGGACCATAAACTACAAGCTGCCATACGGAAGCAAGATTATTATGGTAACGGTAATTTTGATACTTCGAATTGAGAATTTGACAAATGACAAAAAATAAAATAAAGTTTTTTACAATTTCATGCAGATAAATCCGCAGGAAACAGCTAGTGAAGAAATATAACTGTCCATCCTTGCGTGTTTAGGTAATAATATTCAAGTACAGATAAATCTAATAATATAGACCTTCAGTATTACCGCTGTTACGACAGCACATAAATTGTTTACGGCCCGTCCGATAAAAATTGTCTCAGAGTATACCAGTGTGGTCATAACATATAATTTGTAACGCAAGCTTGGATATCGTAGACATTGTTAATGTTATGTTAAGATAATTAATAGTAACATTTTTAATAAGAAGAGTAAATAAATAATTAAAAAATCAAGTAAAACGCAGGCAGCGTTAGAAAAATATTCCCATTATTTATCGAACAGGTTTTTATTACTTGATATTGTATAGTATACTCGTACATTTAACCATTCGTTAGTGCGTTTGGTTCGATAACTTCATGAAATGCGTTTCCGAACCTAACTTATGTTTTAAACACTTATGTTTCACTAGGTAGTGATAAAATTAATGGAATCTTCAGAAACCCAGCATAAGCCTTTGATTTGTTGTTTTTTTATATTAACTATTGCTAAGATCAATCTACAAATATTTGTTTTTAAATTATCGAATGAAGTAGATAATTTTATGGTATTCGATTACTCTTTTTGCACTTTGTTACATTCTATTATTTTAGATTGTTATTCAATATTAGCACGTTGAATCTAGATAAACACAGGTATTATTTTAGGTTCCCCTTAGCTTATATTTGTAACAATTAAAAAGGATCAGAGCAACGAGAATAAGATTTTAATACAAGCTTTTTTATGTATAAAATGAAAATAAATAAATTGCTCTCTATTTACTTTTACTTATATATAAGTTACAGAATGAAATGTATGTTTCTTACAGTTTTCCTGATCCCATATTTGTACGTTACAAATACAATATAAATCTATTTATGTAATAAAATTTATCTGCAGACCCTTTTTTTGCCGTTTAGTGTAGAAATGTACTTTTAAATTATCGTTGCATTACAAATAAAGCCCTACTCTACCGTTCAATGCGTTATTTACTCTTTGGCAAAGTAATTAATTCAATGAAAATTTAATTTTAGGTTGAGAGTTACGTAAATTAAATTTAATTGATTTTGAAACGAATTTAGCAGCGATAATTTCATACATTCTAGTTATTTCTATGAAAATGTTTGCAAAATTCTCTTACAAAAATTGCTTCTGTTTATTAAAATTATTTTTTGAAACGAGAATGTAAGAAAAAAGTAACAAACGCAAAAAAATGTTCAGCGGTATCATAGTAAAGGACTCTTATTTTAAGAATTTCCAAAGAGCGACGGAGCTTTTTACAATTTCACACTTGTTATCGTCAGTGCTTTCATAGTGAGTGAAAGGGACAGCAGGATAAGTATTGTCAGTCCCCATCGGTAGGCTTCGCGGGTCAGGCAGTACGGAGCGCTGCGATCCAACGAATCGACGTGTTCGTACACTTCGAAAAAATAAAACGGACACATTTTCGTATCTTTACTGAAGTGTTTGTGTGTGTTTTTATAACATTTAATAATTTATATGTGAATCTTTTCTATTTTTAATTGTACAATATTTTGTGGTAATTAAGCATTATTAAGTTGAATTTAAACTTAGTTTTGAGTAATTAATCTTTGACAACAAAACGTGAAGTTTTGCAATTAAGTGTTTGTGTTAAAGACTTGTGTTGCCCAGTAATTACTGAGAGGGTAAGTCATTCATTAAGTGCAAATTTATTGAACTTAAATGTACAAATATATCAACTAGTTATATCTAAAAATTGTTAATTCAAATTGGAATTTTTCTAAATTACATGTAGACTGGCAATAATTTAATAATAAAATAGGTTATTTTAATAAACATTTTATGACTCATTGTTTTATTTATTTTGATATTCAAATTTATTTACAGTCGAAAAATGCAGGCGAGACATTAATTGCAATAGAATAGACCCGCGTCTTTTAAAGAGAGAAAAATAACTTTTTCATAAAAGTCTTATTGGGTTAACTCTTCGTACACGAAAATCGTTTCTTGCGTTCTAAAATTAAAAAACCGTAGAGCTAAAGGAATTTAAAGAAGTCATTTTATAGTTCAAATTAATATTAAATTTTATATTTACAGTAGTGTAGTATTTTATAAAATGTGATAGATAAATTTCCAATTTAAATTATAACTATGTAGAAATAAATACGTCATAGTTTAAGAGATTTTTGTACCACATTTTTTTAAATGTTCCACTAATTTATTACATTTATGTCTACATCTTATTATTCGTATTTAATCTATATTCTATGCAATATGTAGTTCGCATATCAATATTCAGAGGGACATACTTTAGCATTTTAAATATAAACTCTTAGAAAATAGTGCTAAGTTGAAAATGACAAAAGAAACGAACGGAACATCATCACTATTGTTGCCAATTGAGATAAATTAGGTGAGGACTCAAAATGTGTATTTGCCATTCACATTTTGAGCGTAGGTAAGAGCTCGTTATAATTTTATTAGGTTAGGCGACATGCCGTGAAATGGTCATGATTTATTTTAAGGTTTACATACGCGTGTCTGTTTTTTAAGAAAGTCTACGTGCTTTGTTAGTGAAAACCTGAACTTTTTTTATTTTTATTACTGTACATTACATCAAAAGTCAAAATTACAATAGATACTTATTTAAGTAGAAGTTAAAATTAAATGTTTTTTAAACACGCGCATATTTTTGACTTAATTATAGCATAACTGTTTAATCGAGTTTTGATTCCTATAAGCTTATATGGAAGTATGCATAGTATGTATTTAACAGTGGTAGTGCCCGCTTTAACATCTTAGCACGAATAGGCCGGCACGCCCGGTGTAATACCACGACTACACAGAAGACAGGCGTCAAATGGAAGCAATTCCGTGTTTCGTCTGATGAGTGTGGTGCCGGAGGCCTAATTTAAGTCCCTTTCTCTTTACCACCCTTTTCTTATAAGGAGAGGATGGGAAGAGGAAGTGGATTTGACGGAGGAGGAGATACATAGGAAGGGGAGATATCCTCTTGATGTGCGTCTCCTCCTCTGTCGGATAAGGGTAGGCAACGCATCTGCAATTGCGGATGTCTATGGGCAGCGGTCGCTTCGCCATTTTGGCGGATTCAGGTGGCTGCATGCTCGTTTGCCACCTTATGTTATAAAAAAAAAATGCACACTACTCGATTTTTATTTGTGCAAATAAACAGTTGAATTGGCGAAACAATCGACAATCGCACAACAGTTGTGCGATAGTTTAGTCAAATGTGCGCGCTCGAAATGGTGGACATTATATCGATAGAATTCCCTACCAGTTATCACGCAAAACAAAAGAAAACGTAATATAGATGTCTAGTTGAAAACATTTAACATCAGCACTCAATAATCACGATAGAATAATTCGTGTACATTTACTGTTTTAATTTTATTTTCAACTCACAAATGAAATTTACAAAACGTAGCAATCATCGACCATCGACACAGTTGTACGTAACAATACAGAAAATTCTCGTTAGCTTAATTAACAGCGACTATGTACAAATAACGATTCATGAATAAAGAATAACAGATAGAATATTCCGTTTGAAGGTCTCGTATAACGAGCGATCTCGAGCTAAGAGGCATTCGTCATATAAGCCAGTAGATTCGATTCCTGTTATGCTTTTAGGTGCTACATTTCGTACTTACAACTTATAGACTGGCGTATTAACTCAAATAGACTGTAGTCTCCGACATTTCTTTTCATATTATAACTAGCTTTCTCCCACGACTCTTTCTGCGTGGAATTAAATTGTGTGTTCATCTGGACTATACTCTACATCGAAGCTAAATTTAATCGAGAACAGTTCAGCAGTTTAGGGTATAAACTCTAACAAACATGCTACAACAAACTATATCATTTGTAATATTAGTAGGAAGTAAGATGTGGCTGGCAAGGGGACACCTGTATTCGAATGACGAAGCGACCGCTACCCATAGACAACGATGATAATCCATCGATGGAGGAGAATCACATAAAGCGGATATTTCCCTTTCCTATTCATCTCCTCCACTATAAAATCTATTTTCCCTTCCCCTTTACTTATAAGAAAAGGATGTAAAAGGACAGAATTTAGGCGTCCAGTAGGACAATAAGAGACTCAATCTTTTGCGATCCCCGTCTCTAAGGTCCAGTCCAAGACTTGTAGTTCATGTGGATCTCTGGCTACCTCAACCATCCTACGATACCTAGGACATCTGAAAGGGTATCAGACACTTTCGTTATTGTTAATTACATAATTGTCCATCCATTTGTTAGCGTTATTTAGTGGCTGCTTGCTTTGCCAATTTTTTTACTATAAAAATTTAAGTCTAGCTGGCTTTGGATCTCGTTGAGGTCAATTTCAGCAATAGTTACATTAAATCGGAAATTCATATTCTAGATATCACTAATTATGCAAACCTTGTGAAACCGATGTTATGTATATACTCTGTAATGTACAGAAATTGTAGATACCCGGCATGTTGTAATGCTCGTACGAGTTTGAACTGTACTCGTGTTTAACTATAAGTTAATGTCAATAGTGTTGAGAAAACAATTTTCATTTAGTGTAACGGAAAATACAGTATTTATAAATTCCTAGAATGGTATTAGGGTGCGTTAATAAGCAGAAATCCCGGCTGTTCTCACCTCGACGTTCTTGTTAAATTTTTAAGGTGAAATAGAAAGACTTTAAGAGGGAATTCGACGTAATGAAATTTGTATTGCTTCTTCGTTGTTGTCAGGTTATTTATAAAATAAAATCATATTTATTTTACAGTTTCTTTAAATAAACACAAACAATGTTTATTTCTAAAATATGTATTTCTTTTTATGGGGTATCGCCCGCGACTCATCAATGGAATAAAAAAAAACAACAGTAAGTAGCATATGTGTTCTTCCAGACTATGCTATATATATATTTGCCAATTCCATCTAGATCCGTCCTGCCGTTTAGGCTATAATCTTAAGAAACATCCGTCCATCCATACATCTATCCAAACTTTCGCATTTATGTTATTAGTATGATTATATATAGTAGTTCGTTTGAATTAATTCCGCGTAAAGATAAAGCCACAGAAAAATAATTTACTACAAACGTTATATTACAAAAGTTGATATGTTTTTTTTGCCAACGCAGTCCGTTAGCGCTGTGCGGTTTCCTGTGCAGCATATGTTGTGAACTGCTTTTGTTATCGGTCTGGAGATCGTAAAATATATGACAATTAAATATTCTAGAACAACGAATACCGCTAAGTATAAGACGTAAAATATTTATTACTTACTAGCTTTCGCCCGCGACTCCGTCCGCATAGAATTTAAAAAAACAAAAGTGAGTAGCCTATGTGTTCTTCCAGACTGTCCTCCATATTTGTACCAAATTTCATCAAAATCCTTTCAGCCGTTTGGGCTACAAACTCTAACAAACATTCATCCATCCATCTAAACTTTCGCATTTATTACATTACTAGCTTTCGCCAGCGACTCCGTCCGCGTGGAATTAAAAAAAAAAACAAAAGTGTATAGCATATGTGTTCTTCCAGACTATCCTCTACATTTATACCAAATTTTATCGAAATCCGTTCAGCCGTTTGGGCTACAAACTCTAACAAACATCCTTCCATATAAACTTTCGCATTTATAACATTAGTATGAAGTATGATCGGACGTTTAAATTCGATAATTCTAAAGTTTCAGGTCATATAATTTTTCACTTAACAGTATGTAGTATTAGCTACCCTTAATTATAGTCAAGTATTGTAATGGCGTAGGTGTGGAGTTTTTCGTGCCTCTGTGTATCTACATAATTAAACTTTCAATCATTGTATTGGCAATTTCAACAATTCAACTGTACATAATTCAATATCGGAAAGCTGAAAGATTAAACGTACCGCTACACGGAAGTAGAACTTACTACGACTAATATTTCATATTTTATCGTCTGAAATAACAACGTCGATTTCAATCCACGTAAAAATATCGGAAAATTTCCCCCTCGCTGGCGCTAACGAAGGGCTGTCTTCGTAAATCGTATCGGGTATCGAATCGAAGTGCCTAATTGAATTACTTATTCCCAGTTTACGTTGCGGGATTCTACCTGTGGAAGCTGGGGAGGCATTTGAGTGAGAAAGTTCGTTAATAATTCACGAAATTATAGTCCTTGGGGACGTGATAATTCTCTAATTTCTTTGTTGTATACAACACGGCTGCTTTCCAATTGAGACCTTTGGGATACGTGATATTTTTTAGATTTCATTGTTATTACAGACGACGAATTTACATGATTATGAAATTGTTAATGCGTAAAGGTTTTGTAAATCATTCGGGATAGGTGTTTAAAGGAAATATCATAGAAGAAATTAAAGAAAGAAGAAAGAAAATTAGTGATGCGATATTTGATTTATTGAAAAATGATATTGTTAAATGTTGAACGTAAAATTCTATGAATACATTCAATTTAGTTACAATTTCTTATTGTTTTCATATTCTATTCTCTACTCTGCTTTATGCCTCTCTAAAACTGTTTTTTTAATACCGGGTCAACAAGCTCGTTTACCTTCTCACATAAAAAACAAAAATGTTTTTCTATAACTTTTAACGTATAGTTTTTCAGCTAACGTATTTCTAATGTCGGAAGTGATTAGTCGGAGCGTGTACTCGTACCCATTGTTGCGTGTGTTTT